GGTGCCGCCGCCGGTGCCGGTGTTGGTGCTGGTGCTGGTGCTGATGCTGATGCCGGAATCGGTGTCGGATTCGGCGTCTGAGCGATAACCAACGACGGGGCAGTTTTTATCACTTGGACGGGTTCTGATTCGGGCTTGTTGACCAGGGTTGTCTCAGTCAACTTTTGGATCTTAGTGTCTCTGATAACTTCTTCTTTTTTCAATTTCTCGTCACAACTGTCTACAGATGCATCTGACAAGCTTCTATCCCTGGTTCTTTTAACACCTCTTGGAGATTTCCTCGTGTCCGCGTTTTGCACCTTATCGGCTTTGGGAAGTGCTTGCCTAGTTTGCCGCCTTTTAGGACTTTCCTTAGTTTTGGTCTGCAAAAGACCTTTAATTGGATCATCTATTACATCGAATACATTGATACGTTGAACATCTTTTTCTTGCAACCTTCTTGATTTTCTAGTATTAGGCGAGGGAGATGCAAAATTTTCAGTTTTTTCTTCTTTGTTACTTTTATCGCTATTCTTAATTCGATCTTCCTGATCTTTAGTCGCAATGCTGAGGGTCGATGAAGCGATAACATTAGAGTTTCCAGATAAAGGACTTTTGATTGTGAGAATTAGCCTCGGTCTTGTTTCGTTTTTGTTTGGTGAAGTAGCCGTTTCATCACCAGAATCTTCGTGAAAGTCATAGACGTCTCCGGGCATATTATTCGCAGAACTATTCACTAAGCTTTTAATTTTTTTATCAACTTTAGCTCGACCTCGACCGCGTTTACCTGTGCCAGTGCCTCGAGCGGGTTTCGTAATTTGCCGTGTCTGTACTCTATCTTGCTTTCGTTCACCTCTTTTACCTCTAGCACCTCGACCCCCTCTTTTACTGGTTGGTGTAATTTGTTTTTCAACAATCAGATCTTCAAGTGGACTAATAATTACATTATCATTCTGTGTATCGAGCTGTTTCATTGGCTCGTCACAATTGGTAGGAATAACGGGATAAGTTACAATTGAAGTAATCACTTCAGTTGTATTTGTTTTAAAATCATTTCTTTTCTCATTTAATTCAATGTTATCGTTACACAATGAATCAACTTTTTTAATTACCGATTCTATATTAATATCCTTTGCTGACCAATAATCGTTTTCGTCTAGACTTTTAGTTTTACTAATAATTTCATTTCCAGTTGATAACATATTCGAGTAACCAAAAGTATTTTCTTTATTCAATTTGATAGTTTCTTTTTGGATGACTTTTTCAGGTTCCGATTTCATGCTACTTGCCATAAAATTAATATTTGTCTCACTTTTTTCTACGTTTTCACTTGAAACAGAGTCTTCGCTTTTTTTAATTAAAGGATCTTTAGCCGTGTTCAATATATCTGTACTATCGTTTTGGCTACTCATTGAATCGTTTTTGTTGTTCACTGGAACACCATTTTCATTACATTCGTTTAACATAGGAACTTTAGTGCTCTCTTCTTTCTCCGATATGTTGTCACTGTTTTTTCTTTCCCTGCAATGTGTAATTAATGTAACTGTTTTTCCGACATTGATTTCAAGTTTCTTTTCGGGATCGTTTGTAACTTTGATTTCATTTGTGTTATCTTTTAGTAATTCCTCGAAATCTGTTTCACATTTATTGCCACCTTCATCTTCGACCGTAGTGGTTGCATGCTTGTTTAGGTCCTTGTCGCAACCACTCTGATTCGAGAAAACAAAATCTTTTTGTCCAGTTATAACATTTTCTTTGTCATGTGTTACATTATTTTTTAATGGCATTCCAAAATTGGTTTCCACGTGATCCGTATCATTTTTCAGATTAATTCTAATGGGTGTTTTCGCACCTGTAGTGGTCGTTAATATTAATGGCGTCATAACAACGTTTGTAAGACTAGGCGTTGTAGCAGCTATACAGTTTTTACTGTCTGTTTTAGTAAGAACCGTCGATGGTCTGATATTAGCAACAGATAAAACAGATGCTGGAATTTTATTTGAATCCAATTGTATCACATTATTTAAAGATGTTAACATTCTTTGAGAATTGAAAGTGTGTATAACGTTAGATCCCTGTCCTCTATTAATAGGGCTTGCTTCTTGAATTGTACACATTACTGGTTTTGATCCACTCTGAATTATAGACGCTCCTGAGTGACTAACATTTGCCACATGAATTATAGGTTTGTTGTTAAAACTGATGTGACTATGCTCAGAATTTAGACTTTGACTTTCCTGCTTATCAAACATTGAACTTTTATTAATCACTATTTTATTGGGCATTTGCAAGGTTGGATTTATATTTCCAGAATGTATAGCATTTGGCATAGAAATAAAACGATTCTGTGTCAAAACTGTAGCATTTGGTTGTATTCGTGTTGGGGATAGAATTATTTTTGTATTTTCAGCAATGTTTTCCGGAACATTTCTATCATTTTTTCTACATTCTGGTGGTAAAATCGAAGGTTGATTCGATACAGACGAACTATTCACGTTGCTGGTTTTATTTTGGTGTACCAAGTTGGTTGCACAAACTTGTTTTGAAATAGGGGTCATCACTGGAGCAACTGGTAAGCGATTTAAATGTATAGGAGCACCTTGGGTTTGAACTAAAACTGAATTTGGCCGACTAGGTGATACCATTGTTCTCGCACCAACAGGTATGTGCATCGTTTGGATTGGACTTAAAGGCGGTTGCTGCATTCGCACAACAGTAACTTGACTTGGAGATCGTTGAGGAAGAGTATTTGACGATTTTATGCCAACAGTATTTAAATTTGGCGGTGATGGACTCAGAATGGCCACACTTGATAATCTTGGAGACGTCACATTATCTCCTTGAGGGCTAGCTTTCGGACTTGTCAATCGCGGATCACTATTTGCCCTGGGGGAAATCACAATGCCTTGTTGTTTTTGATATAGAATATGAGACTCTGGTATTTTGATTGTAGGAGGTTGCATATTCGCCATCTGCGGACGGATCATGTGATTAATAACTTGATATGGTGCACTGACTCTTGTTGCACTGAGGACTGGTTTGGTTTGGTTATTAACTTGATTCGTTGACGTCTTTATTTGAACAATATTGGCAGCTACATGCGTGGGTTTTTTGTCATTTGTATCTCTGCACAGTGCTGGACTAGACGATATATTTAATAACTGTGGTTCCAACAATTTCTTATTAGATAATGTCCACGAGGTAATCACTGGTGTTGCAGTGGATGTAGGCTGATCCACAGTCGTGTCTCTTTTGGGTAACGAACAAGTGACATTAGATTCTCTACATTTAGTTTCATCTGTTTCAGAATTATTACAAGAGACAACAGTTGTCTTTGGTTTTGATATGACAGCAATAGGAACTTCTTCTACTTTAGAAGTACTAACTTTAGTATTGTTGTTCAGAGATTGATTAGTAGCGATTATATTAACAGGTAATCTTTCAATCGCATCTTGGCTAGTATCTTCTGCCTCTTCTGTGTCTGTATCAATTAACAATAAGTCGTTATCAGAAACGGGAGTGTCGGGCTTTATTTCCATTTCGCTTGCGTTAAGGTTTTGCACAGCTTGTCGCATTTCTTCTGCGTCTTCTTCAGGAATATTGTCATTTTCTATAGTTGTATTCTCGATTTCAATTTCGCGGACACTACTATTTTCGACTTTTTCGTAACAAGTGTTGAAAGAATCTTCTTTGCCACCGAAACTTTCACCTAACAACGCGGCGACGGCATCCTCTGTTTCTTCCTGAGAAATTATAGCTCTAGGCTTCTCTTCTAGTTTCTTATCAACTTTGCAGGAATGTGGATCAACTTTTTCAACAGGTTTTTCAGTTTCCTTTTCTAAATTTGAAATACTACGGACTGCAGTTTCATTATCGTCAATTTCAATAACATTAATAAAATTATCTATTTTGTGTTCAATATTAGGCGGATCTTTAGGCAATGGAACTTCACTAATATTTTCAATTGTGTTATTGTATGGGGGCGGCATCGGAATTTCTTTAATTTCAATAGTTTTTATATGCTGAATATCATTCTCTGTTTCAACAATCATAATCTTATTAGAGTCACATTCATGTTTTATCCCATCTTCTAGTACCAACATAGGAGGTGTATCAGTTAATCTAGGCAAACTCTGAGATTCTAGTGCCAACCTGGAATCTTCTGAATTATCGGAGGATTCAACTTTCTGTATCTCAGCAGGTAAAGGTATGTCTTTAAGTAATGTTTTAGGCATTTCCTCAGAGTGTACCGGAGGCACTAGGTCTTCCGACTTACTTTTATCATGATGATGAAAGTGGTGATGTTCGCGGCGATTTTGTCGGTCTTCTTTATTCCTCTTTCTCTTTTTTCTTTTTTCTCTATCCTTAAATTCTTTTTTAAACCTATCATACTGTTTTTCGTTCGATTTGGAATAGTCACTCTTGGGTGCAATTTCATCAAACTTGTGATCACTTTGTTCTGGTGAAGCTTGATTTTCATATAAGCCTGTGTTTGCATGGCTATCATCATTGCTTAGTGAATCCGCGAATAACCTAGCTTCAATAGCTTTACTGACAGCATCTACGTCCAAACTATTATCGTCATCTTTATTCAAGAATTTTCTATCTTTTCGCCTCTTGTCCTTCCTTCGTTTGTTATCCTCTTTATCCAGTATTTTATATTCGTCTGTGTTTATTAAAGAATTTGATTTGTCACATTGGGCATTCATAGATTCTAAATCTTGTGTTGCATATTCCAATTTGTTTCCAGATGATTTACGACTACGACATTCTTTATCGGACTCATCGGATAAAGGTCCAAAAATATCCTCCATTTTTCCCTCTTTTTTAGCATTGGGACATAATTCATGAAGTAATTCAAACGAGCTATTTGGTGACTTTTTATCCTTTTTGTGTTTTGATTTTTCATCCTTTATTTGAGCTTCGTCAGTATCTACGCTTTCGCGGATCTTGTCCCTGCGTTTGTCTTTTTTAGCAGTATGGCGCCTTACTTTTTCTGAATTTTTGTACTTGACGTCGGAATCTAATTCATTATTACTCTCCGGTTTTACTTCGTCATCCGAAAATGACGATTTATGCCTCTTTTGCTTCTTCTTATGCTTTTTCCGATTCTCTGATATATTTCGGTTAGAAGTAATTGACTCAGATTCAGACGAAAAATCATTAGAAATTGTTTTCAAATTATGAACCTTATAATCTATATCATCGATCTCTTGGGATTTTACTTTGTGATCATCTGAATCAGATTTCCCAAAAAGATTTATTAGGGACGTTTTCTTTATCTTGTCATCGTTCAATTCCTTTAGAGGGTTATTTGTATCTTTATTACTGTGAAGAGACTCAGGATCAGAAAGGACTTCTTTCTTTATTTTTGGAGCATAATGTGGACTTCTAGTAAAATTTCTTCTTGAACTGTCATCATCCGAAGTATCAGACATGATGCGAGTTCGAGAATTTTTTCGAGAAAGCTTATTGCGACATTCGTCTTCAGTTGTTGGGCCATTGAAATAATCAATGCCTTTAACATGATCGTAGTCTGAGCAAGTTAGAGACTTTTCGCGTTTCTTGTTATGATGAACGGTTTGTTCATCTTCTGAAGAACTATCCATTGAGTTTTTAAAAGACTTTCTTCTATCATGTTCAGAATCACTGTCTTCATCCCAACTGGATCTTTTCTTTTCTTCCCGTTTTGCTCTACTTCGTTTTAATTGACTAAATTTAGCTTTAATTTTCTCTTGGCGTTTTTCTTCTTCTTGTTTTTGCATATTTTTGCAGGAACGAGCTTTTACTTTATCGTACATTGATATGTAGGTGGGTCCATCGTCAACAATGTCAAAAATAGAATGCTTTTTAGGTTCGTCAGAATCAGAACTGTCTGTGCTGTGGATTGGTTTGCGATGCTTCCGCTTGTGTTCGGTTTTCTCGTCTTTACTCTTGCGATCAGTAGACATGCGTTTATCTCTCACTAGTTCTTTTTTCTTTTCATCACTTTTTTGTTTTTTATCTTCTTTAAGTTTATTTAATATTTCAGCTTGCTGCAACGCATCTTGTTGCATTTGCAGTTCCTGTATTTGCTGTAGCTGTTGTATACGTTTTTTTTCTTTCATTTCTTTTCTGAGAGCTTTTTGTTTCTCATCTTCTTCACTTGATCTTAATTCCAAAGTAGCTAAAAAATCAAAATTATTTTGTAAAGCGTCAGAATGTATAACAGAACTATCATTTGATTTGTCAAAGTCGTGTGGTTTAGGACTTTTCTTAAAATGTTTTACTTTGTCTGATGTTTCCTTAATTTCGTTATCCTTGATATCCACAAAACCCTCATCCGGTGGCTTAACTAGATTTTTTTTATCATCTTTGGTTTTGCTTTCTATTAATTTTGCAAAATGTCCTTTATTGAATTTTGTCGTTTTATGTCTCTCAGATCCGCGATCTTTAGAGTCTCTCCTTTCGAGACTCTTTATGTCACTCTTACACTTTTTAATATCTTCAAGGCAATCAAGGCTATCCTGCGAAGATAATCGCCTTTTATTGCCTATGTTTGGGGGTAAACTTGAACAAGAATTTAGACGTTCTTTGCGTTTACAGTCAACAACAGGGGAGTCCAGAGAGTAATGTCTTTGTTTTTCACTTAGATCAGTCTTGCTTTTAGTAATATGTTCAGAAATATTTTCAATTTTGTTTTTAAAATTGCCATCCAAACAAAGCTTATCCTCTTTTGTATCATGCTTTAACACTTTTTGTTTACTGTCAATTTTGGAATCATTACATTTTTGCATTGAGTCTTTTTCTAAATTGTATTTTGCTGCATGATCGGTACATATTTTAGCTTTCGTCTTAGATTCTTCTCTTATCTCGTTATCTAAATCTTTTGTTTTCAAGGAGTCATGAGACGCCCTTGAAGTAGACGAGTCAGTAGAATCCTTACGACATAGATCTCTTGAACTATTGTCCCTAGATTTACTACTTTTTGAGTCATGTTCCTTTTTAGCATGATCCCGTTTATTGTCCAAATTGTCTTTTTTCACTCGTTCTGACTTATATTTGTCTTCCCTTTTTGATTTACCGACCTCATTTTCGATGATTTCCTTTTTCTTATCCCTATCTGCTTTGTCTTTTTTATGATTTTCTTGACGTAACTTCTCATCAATATGCTTAGTCCTTTCACTATCTTTCTCATATCTTTCTGGGGTATCTTTTTCCGATTTTGATTTATCCAACCTTTCAGAATGTGTTTTATGCTTGCTTGATTCCTCTTTTATTTTTTTATCTTTATCATGCATTTCCACTTTATTGCTCTTCCTTAACTTTTCTTTATCTAAATCATGCTTGTCCTTTTCTGTGCGCTCTTTGCAATGTTTTAGCTTTTCGTGATCGCTTCGAATAGTATCTTCAACAGTTTTCGATTCAACAAACTTTTTATCCAGCGTATTTGATGTAACATCAAGTCTAGGTTCCGAATGGGCCAATTCTTCATTCTCTTTTTGTAATAGTTGATTACTGAAACAATCAAACAAATTTGAAATTGATTTTTCTTTGTTGTTTTCATTATTTTTAAACTCAAAGTGTGTGTCATTTTTATTATTAGTTTCCACATAATTTACTACATTTAAGTGATTTGATAATTGAGGTTCTTTTCCTACAATATTCCTCTTATCAAAAGTGTTCAATAACTGAGAACAATTATCTAATTTATTTTCACAGTCAAATTTTCCTGTCGTATTATCTTTAGGTGTTTCTAACTTTATATGATGTCCACGTTTAAAAAACAAGTCTTCTTCGGAGTTCTGTTTGCTAGACAATGCGTCCAATATTAACAAATCTTCGTTATCTTGTTTTCCTTCAGATTCAATATGGTTGCAATTAGTGTTACTATCATTTACAGAAGAAAGTTCAATATGATTGGTGTTTTTTTCGGTTTTAATAGAACTAAGTATAGATGGATAGTTGTCCTCGATCTTTTTTAATCCATCGTCCATATCGTGGTTTGGCAAACGTTCTCTATTTTGAATAACAGAGTCGATCTTATCAAAACAGTCTTTAAACACATCCTTAGTAAGTGGCTTCGAATGCTGCTCTCGTCCAAGGAGACATAAATCTCGTTTTCTGCTTTCAGTTTCTCGTTTGCATTCTTTATCAGGCTCTACTCTATCTTTGTCAGACCCAGGTGAGGTTTTGGGCTCTGTTAATTCGTTCTGTAGTTTGTCAACAGAAGGTGTTCTTAAGCGGACTCGTGAATCGGCTCTATAATCACTCTCATTAAATTTTCCAAGTTTTTCTAATTTGAAAGGTCTTTCCGGTCTATTAAGGCGGGGATCCGCCGGCCTGTCTGAAGGCTCTATGTCGCATTCAGGTGGCGGTGGACACAGTGGCGAAGGGGGTGCATTATTAGACAACGCTAAAGGGACGGAACAAGATGTCGAACCACATGATGTCACCGGTGGTACAGGAGGCGGGTGTGAAGGATGGGTCGGAAAAGGATATCGAAGAGCCCGAGAAGGACAAGGAGATGGACGTCCATGAGGACTCCCGTCCGGGCTCGGGGGTCGCGTCGCCCCTTCCAATCGCTCCGAGTCTTCATCGAACACCGATCGCTTAGCAAGCAGGGATCGCACAACCTCCGATGGCTTAACTTCATTTATATCGACTTCGAGTAGTCGATGACGAAGTCGAGCGCGATCGGGAGCATCTGCAAGCGCTCGTGAGCCACTCCATTTTTCGTACTTCTCGTCGAGACTTCGAATACGCTCCTCCAGGGAGGGCGAGTGGGGTGCGGAGCCGGTACTGGAGGAGGAGGCGGAGGGCGGGCGCGGCGGCGAGTCGGGTGCGGAGGCTTGCGGCGGGCGCGGGGCGGGCGGCGCCGCCCGCAGCAGCTGCGCCGCAAACTTGGGCAGCGGTAAGCTCATGGGCAACGGCGGGCGCTCCCGCGGCGGGCGGCGTGGCTCGGCGGGCGGCGCATCGGGCTCGTCGCGCAGCGGGGTGCCGGCGCGCGAGCCCCGCGACTCCGAGCCGTCTCTTCTCCGGCGGTGCCGCCTCCGGGACCCATGCGCCGACCCGCCGCGCGACCCTGACCGCGACCGCCGGGAGCTCCCGCCGACACTTCTATGTCGCTCCTAGGAACGTGGTATATCTGTATTAGCTTGAATCTTTAATAATATTATAAATAATTTACTAAGCTTACTATGAATTTGTGAAAAAAAACGATCCAATACTAACAATAAACTGGCAAAACTAAAGATTGTTTTGTACACGAAGGTTTTATTAAAATTTCGATGCTCTAGTTTAAGGAAGCTTTTTCATAATACTTATTTTGTTAAGATTTTTATTATTAATTAGTAATCATGTCTAATCTATGTAATTAAAAATGGACATATGTACATACCATTGTAGACATTATTCAAATCCAAGAATATTACGACGTCGACAAAAATAATAATTTATAACGAAAACAATAATAAATAATCATCGTTGGGACAATGCCTATCCTTACCATACAATTTAAAATTTAATTTATGAATACAATAGAGGAATACGACATGGTTTTAATATAATTTAGAGCCAATGGAAATATATTTTTATACACTACATAAAATTATACGAGGGTGAATGAAAAAGTTCTTAGAAGTGCATATATATGAAACCTTTTTGGATCAAGTTCGATATTCAAATTAAAGAGTGTCTATCACACTATATTTATGCACACTGTCACTTGTTTTTGTCAGTTCGTTCGCATGTAATAAATTTTTTTGTGCAACGAGTTGCTAAAAAGTCAAAATTATGGATAAAAGTGAGTTACGTGCGGTGATAAAATATCTCAGTTTGAAAAAAATGTCTACGAAGGAAATTTTTTTGGATATTCAGCAGACATTAGGGGGTGATGCTGTACCCTATTCTACGGTTGCGTACTGGGTGGCTGACTTATTTCCAAAATTAAAAGAGGAAATTCATGGAACAAAATTTCACGATAATGACGCGGTTATAGCTGCCGTAGAGGACTTTTTCGAGAGTCAAGAAAATATTTTTTTTTCACAAGGAATAAGGAAGTTAGAAACGCGTTATTCTAAATGCATTGCATTGGAGAGAGATTATGTAGAAAAATAAAATATTATTATTTAAATCTTTGCATTTTTTAATATTGATTCCAAGAATTTTTTGATTCACCCTCGTAATTATTTCTTTCATTAACAATATATGTAAACCATAGTTCAAAGTAAAACTTTAACTAACATCAAGAAGTCTTACATTTGTCTTAAAAGTATCGTATATATGCCACTCTTCGTTCAATAATGTCTGGTAATAAATGTTATCGGAGGATCAAAAGCTTTGTGCGGGTAGCTAACACAAGCATATGTCTGATTTATTTATATTTTCCCATGAACTATCAATTCATATGTATGAAAATGAGAGGATCTGACATTGACTCTTCATTGAAAACTAATTCTGGCAAATTGATCACCCTAAAACATCCAAATAAATTTTTGGAAATCCTATTTGGTCTATTTTCAAAACGAAAGATTAATTTATCTTTTAAAAGTATTAAACCCATGCAGATTATTATCAAATACGGTAAAAAAAATCGTTTGAAAATGTAAATAAAGCTCTCGAGTATGATTTTCAATAATACTCAAGGTCTAAATAATACTTATAGGTTTTGACTGCAGTGAAACTTGTCATCAATCACAATCTGTTTAACATAATACACATACATGGAAAGAAAACCTACAGTTATGTTATAACTTTTCGTATCAAGTTAATTTTACTCTATTGCAAAGAGCAACAACATGAGGATACAATTTTTGCTTACACAATTTCAATATGTATTGTGTAAGCAAAAATTTATGTTACATAAAATTTACCTTTGAATGTTTCCTGTCCTCGGGACTCGAGTCTCGCCGATGTCTGTGTGTCCGATGAGGTGAAACTACCACTGACTGCAAGCGATCTTCGTATGGCGTCTCATCAGTCTGTGGACTCGACCCAAGCTCTTCATACACCCTGTATTCAATAAAAATAAAAAAATGAGAAACATATGCGCTAAATATACTATATCATATATAAAATAGGGGTACCAATAGGACTTTGAATTAAAAGATCAATACCGGACAATATGTAGTATTTTTGACATGCCTAAGATATTACATATTGTGTAATTAATAAAAGGTTACCTGTACCGCCTATCGGCCGCATACTCCGCAGGGTCGTAATGTTCATGCGTTGGATAGCGGGGAGTCCGTGAAGTGGCGCGACTAAAACTCGGAGTCCGCGTTCTGGCACCATCGTACCTGTTTCAAAAACATACAGTACGAACGGTGTTTTGTCGAAGAGGTCCATACTCCGAGTCCGCTTATTTTATCTTGGTTACAGGATTTATTTTGGCTTTTCCGCCTTTTTCTCTAAGAGATGACGTGGGATCAAGATGTGGTTTTGTAAATGGTGAGAATAGATAAAGAAAGAAAATATTATATTTCTGTTTCTCCTGTACTCTATCAATTTGAAATGCATCACACATTTAGAACTCATTGGTATTTGCCAATGAATAGCTGCAGCTTAGCATCAGGTGACCCGACAAGTTTTTATGTTTTGTCATCTTCTTGCACAAAATACGATGTATAACTGACCTGAGCTGGTCATGCCTAGTAGAGGGTAGGAAGCGCGTGCTGAGATCACCCGTCAATCTTTCAGACCCAGGCATGGTCGCCGAACCACCATGTTTCTCCAGTTGTTCATAGAAAGCCTCCTACGTGACAAAAGATGGGTAATTAGTAACCACATAACATCTTTGATATATTGCGGGATACAACTACAAGCACTGATATCTATACATGTGGAAGCCGAGTCTTGTAAAAGACAACTTTTATTTTTAACGTGTTGAAGACTAAATTCGTTTAAAAATTCCGGGAACAAATTTTTACACTTTTAGATATAACAACCAAATAGAGATGTCGATGTTTGTACTCTAGAAGTTACAGTCTAGTGAAATAGTAAAAGAATAGATTTGCATTTAGTGCTAAAAAGTGTATATTGTGAAGGCAAAAAGGCACATGTTTACCTGACACTCGCGCGAGGCGTAGTCGACGGCGAGGCGCGGGTGGTCGGGCTCGGCGGCGGAGGCGAGCGCGGCCACGCGGCGCAGCTCGCGCACCGCCGCGCCCGCCGCCGCCGCCTGCTCGAAGTGCACCAGCGCTGCGCCCGCCGCGCGGTCCACGCACACCGACGTCGCCGCGCCGCAGCGCGACACCGCGCTCAGCACCTGCAGCACACAACGTTCAAGTCGCATCATCGCCCTGCCCTCGCCCCCTCGCCCCGCCTCCACATGTATAGAATCAACCATCAATGTCGGTACCTGTTTCTCGGTGTGCTCCGTGAGGCCGTCGACCCACACGCAGGTGGTGGCGACGGGCTTGCCGAAGCCGAGCTTGACGCGCGAACCGCCTACGTACTCGCCGTCCATGGCGCGTATCGCCTCCACGACGCTGGATATCGACTGGTACTGGCAGAAGGCATAGCCCGCGCCCCCGCCGCTTCCTTTCTTTATGTCGATTTCAATTATCCGCCCGTAGTGCTTGAATTTATCTCTCAACTGTTGTTGTGTTACGTCTTTTTCCAAGTTACCAATGAACAAAGTCCTGGTGGCCTGTAAACAACGTCGGTTTGAAACATTGCTATTATTACAAATGCTTTTCTATTTTTAATACTTTCGTATTAATAAGCGGAACATTTATAACACAAGGCACCTTGGGATGGTATTCATCAATATCAGTCTCGTAAGGTTTGGCAGATTCGGAGTCCTCGTCGCAGTCCTGGTGCGGCGCCACGGATATCTTACAGCCGAAAAACAATTTGTCCTGCGACACCTCGAGCGCCTTGTCCACGTCGGACGGCTTCTTGAACCGCACCACTGCGTACCGGTCCGCATTCTGACCCACCACCTAAATCAAATTATATCATTACAAACCAGAAGTCCTTCTTACTATGGCCATGTTCATGTCTAGTTTAGTAGTTTGCCAACTCGTCCAGTAAAGTTTTCACGTAATTTTGTTGGACGATAATCTATACAGTTAATAAAATTAGAGTGTCTGTGTGCAATATTGAAAAATTAACAATATTACGCGAACATGATACTTGCGTAACTGATAACGAAAATCCGACTTAAAAAACTTTATTGTGTCTTAAGTCGCGTTTGTTTCAGGTAATTTTCGAAACGGCTACAACAATTTTGACGGGGCTTCGATGTACCTAATGCAAGCAGGAATATTATAGACTAATATCTAATATTATAGACAATCTTCTTTTAATTCCAAATAGAGGAAATTTGAGGGAGAGAGCTAGCTTATAACTATTAAGGTTCTTTAATTATGTTCCTATTGAATACAGTGATTTGTCTATTTATCACACAGTTAACTGTTAAAATCAATTGCGAAAAAAAATATGTGTCATCGCTGACTTTACAGTATGTTTTTTATATTTCATTTTGAATAATAAAAGAGAAACGGACAGAAACAATTTTATTCAAAAAACACGAATCACGAAATTCTAGATTCCTAGTTCTACGATATACTATTTGCAAACTTTTTTCACAAGCAACACCAACAACACGTGATCCAGTACTCGTTTATCTATTCTATTTATCAATAATAAACATAATTAATAACCTTCACCCAGACCACCTTGCCGTGCTTCTTGTACTCGTGGTAGAGGCCGTCTTTGAGCGAGCTGTCGGTGGACCGCGTCGGCAGGTTGCGCACGCAGATCCCAAGCGGACGCCCGTTCGCTATCGACGCCCACTGTTTATCCATCAAACTTTGTACAGAACACCTAACATGTTTTACAATTTATTCTTGAAAATACAATTATTTCATCTTCAAAAATCATTATAATTGTAAGTCAAATATACGTGCCCTTTTTATTTCAAGCATCATCTATCATTAGTTTAATCTAGATTTACTCTCTTATTACGCATATCCTTTTTCACATAATCGATCCCTACTTTCTTCGACCTTTGACGACCCAACAGAAGTAGGGTAAGGAGGATGACGATGATATCACAGGGCGCACTTTATGAACTTCCTACAATACAGTTATTCCTAACTTTACCCCTTTTCGGCACACCACACATCATCCATTGTAACATACACATAACAGCCATACGCGATCATCCGAAACTTAGGTAGCCCAACACTCGGATCCATACAACAGGTCTTAAAATAAACTTGTAAATTTGTCCCTCAAACTAGAGACGTATAATTGTGTTGTGATAACATGATCGAGGATGAAATACTGTAATATAACAACTGTAACAATGTTTTTATAATTAAATGCTAACAATATTAGTGGCGAACATGATTTGCGTCTCCGAGTCTTTATATTCATTCGTCTAAGGAGCATTACAGAGGACCGGCAACCAATGCGAGCATGGACTGTACCTCGTGCAGATGGTTGGGCGGCGTACGTCTCGGGCCCAGGCGGCGGTCGGGCGGCGGCGCGGCGGGCGTGGAGGCGCGAGACGTGTCGCTGGGCTCCGGCGAGCTAGTGTCGGAACGGGACGAACCCGAGCCGGACCGCCGCCGCCGCCGGCCGCCCTCCGTGCCGCCGCCCGGCGTGCTCGGCGTGCTCTCGCCGCCGCCCGCGCCTCCGACTGCACCACCCACGCCCGCTGCGCCGCCGCTCGTGGCCCGATCTCCACTCGCGTACCAACGATGATGTGGAGTCGTTCTGATAACCGACAAATATGTTAGCCTTAAAATCATTCTAAAACTAAAGGTACATTAAAATACCATGAAACTCAAAATTACATATTATAGCGTTTCAAAACCTTATTATAAGTCACACAACGAGATTAAATATAAACAGACAGTACCTTATAACTACTGGACTGATGACGTGTTTGGGTTTTTATGTAGAAATTCACTCCGGCTTTTTTTTTACGATTAAAACGCATCGTTTCGTCAACTATGGGAAAACGATATCTTGTAATTTTCTAAGAGAAATTAGTGATTATGCTTTTTTTACAAAACTAACGTTAGATCTTTGGAAAATCACGGAATATACGTTGCGTTCATAGTATTTGGGTTATAACATAACTTGGAATCGATAATTTCGTGATATTGTTTTGTTATTTGATTACAATACAAATACAATTACCCTGTTTATTCTTTTTAAAAATCAAACAAACAATAAAAATTAAAACTAGTGGTAAGTTGTTGACAAAGAAAAAGTAATAAAAGTTAAGGAAGAGTGAGATTGGGTATCTTTAAATATTTTTAATATTTTTTGATTTATTTCAATCTGTATTATATTAATTTATTTTAGTTAGCAAATACTGTCCTCTTCTTTTTTATTTAATATGATGAAATTATGGAAAAAAATACAAACACCAATCCATAAACTCCTTTTTTGGGAAGACAGTTAAAATGGAATTATTCACAATTATCCGTAGAAGTCAAATTCAAAGTTATCATAATCTTTTGGTAACATTGAATATATTTTTAAGGATCTAAAAACCTTTAATATTTTAAGCTTTAGGTAAAATTAAATGATATACTTTTATCAATAAAACCTTAACATCTAATAAAATAACATCAACAATAACATATAAACGTAATAGATCGGTTGATTTTGCCATATAAGTCTAGGTGGACTAATTTGGTGACAAAAACTATTTGAAATCTTAACAAGAAACAATTCGAACTATTTAACTTCATAACAAAAAAGCGGGAAATTACAAAATTTTGACATCGAAATCTTACTTCTTATTACTTTTTTAAAAACATTACGAAAGTACGTTTTATTTTAATTTTGGAACATCCAAAAGTTCAAATGTAATAAATTAATAAGTATTTTTCACTAATGTCTTCAAAGGTCAAAACGCAATTCAAAGTTAGATAAAAGTATTTTTCTTACAAATTATAGTCATCACCAGCTCACTATATGTCCCCACCGAGGGGCTCGGAGCCTACCCTAAGTAAGGGTGACTAGGCCATAGTCAACCACGCTGGCCAAGTGCGGGTTAGTTGACTTCACACATATCTTTGAATTTCTTCGCCGATATTGTGCAGGTTGCATCACGATGTTTTCCTTCACCGTAAGAACGTCGGGTAAATTATGTACACATAAAAATTCGAAAAATCGAAAATCACATTGGTATATGGCGGGAACCCAAGACCTGTAGATTACAAGTCAAGTGCTTAAACCACTGAGCCACCGACGCTCAAATACAAATGATAGTAATCAATTCAAAATAGCAACTATTCCTTAGGTTGTTACTCAATGTTTTAGTATATCATAGTCAATATTTGGCAGGCTTTGTTATTATGCTAAACAAATAGCAACAGGACACAGCAATATCATTTAAGGATGTAACTGCAATATTTACAAATCGGCAATAATAATAAAATCGTTAAATCCTATAATGTTACACTTCTACTTCATTGGTTCAATCGTTTGTTCTTTTGTAAAATTCACCTCAACACGAGCAAGTAGTAAATACTTCTGGAAACCGCGATCAGCCAAATATTTTGCCGTGAGTGCGTGTTTGCCGCGATGTGTCCGCAAATTTTAAAACCGAGAATAAGGGGACTCTTTAAAGACATTAACGTCCATTATATTCTGCAGCAGCGGTCAGAGATAAAATAAATGTTTCAAACAATGTTTTACTATATTTCCTTCTTTAGTTCGAATCGAAGTTCTCGCCTTGTTGCTAAATAACTTTTTAGTTTACAATAACAAATAATTACTTTATATCATACAAATATTATAAATTGCGAAAGTTTGGATAGATATTTCTACTTGTATCTCTAACGGCCGGTCTCAATAACGCATCTTGGATCGGGAGATCGCTTCAATCGGAGAAATAAATCGACCTGCTGGTTGATCACTAACATTTTCACAATGGATCAGCGGATCGATGTACTTTGTGAAGTTCCTTCCTGGCGTTCCATTTCAAGCAGATGTCATTATGACTGTGTTGTAAACCTATTGATAAATTTAAGAAAATATGCACATTTTTGAGTTTTGACTTACTAACTAATTATTTATTTATTACATATTTTACGAATAAAACGTGTTTCAACATTTTCCAAGCAAATTGTCATCAACCAATTCTCTCTTTTCGGATAAGCTTTACGGATAAGCGAAAAATTCAATGTTTGTTGTTGTTTGTTTACTTTATTGTACTACTATTTTTGTAATAAATAAAAACTTTATTTTTGTAACAAATATAAAAACTATATTCTTTTAATAAATATAAAAGCTTGATTTTCGCAAAGTTTTTTATTTGAAATACAATGATCGCCCTGAATGCATTTCTTCTTCGTCCCAGTCTGAAAGTTGCTCTAACACTTCCAAATCACTTTCACTATCAGCTATCACTATACGGCAACAAGCCAACCATTTTTTAAACTCATAATAAATTAGTCGAATCTTCCGATTTCCAGAGATTGTAAAATAAAGATTGAGAGATTTGTCAAATTCCAAAAACATTTATTGAAACACTACAACTGTCACTTTCAAACCGACGGCGATCCGAAAAGTGTTAGAAATCAGATTTTTCCCTCCAATAGATTAGTCATGTTTTTAGATCGAATTTTTATCGTTCGGTCGTTTATTGAGACTATTTCAAAAGATTATAGTACGGATTGGGATTTTCGATTGATAAAATTGTATATTGAGACTGGCCGTAACTTTGACTAAATTATAGTGTGTCTAAATAATTTAGATTAGTTTGATAATTCACTTCAAATTTAGTAGGGATGGGTTGTATAAAATCAATCATGAATCTTATCGATTTTCGATTTTTTTTTCTTATATAAGTTGGAATCGATAGATTTATAGTTATAACTTATAAATTAAAAAAAAAAACCACTGTTTTCTCAAATTAATAATGACCATAACAAATAATGAGAGTAAATAAATGTTTATTACTACTACAGCCGTACGACATCGAATTGGATTTCGCTATTATTTCTGTCATCGCTAAATTCTCTACACTATAATCAATACTAGAATTGTCCTTTAAATAAGTTAATAAGCAAAAAAATTGAATTTTAGTTGAGTTCGATATTTATTTAAACCGAATATCGATATTTCAAAATTGTTTGCTATGCGTGTTTGTTTCGTCACTACGATACCTGTCTAATAAGTATCATCATATGCGTCATTTACCAAACTAATCTATCTTATTTAGACAAACTATAGTCACATATGTACAGCATAGTCTAGAAACACACATTTTTTAAATTATGTCGAGCTAAGCTAGTTAACTAGGTAAAATCTAATTGACATAAACAGGCAATTTCTAACGAAATATTCCCCGTTATATACAAGGAAGCGGTTGGTCAAATTAGGCCAACATTTTATAAAATAATTATATATACCTATGTACATTTAAATTCAGATAATTGACTATAACTTGTCAGGGTACCTTTCGACATTGGAGGGTGGTGTGGCGTACGAGGCCGCCGCGTTATGCCGCTGGTAGCGGCCATAGGTAGTAGGCGTGGTGCCGCGGCGACAGAACTCGGAAGCACTGTCGTTGGTGCCTCGCCACGTGGCCGGGGCCGCTGCGGACGCGGCCATGGCACACGCATTGCCCGCGCTCTCTTCTCCTCTGTAAAACCGAGCACACATTTAAATAATAAAATACTATGGCATGGTTAGATAATAATATATTTATCACCCCTTCGATCACTTAATTTGGTTTATGGTTTCAATTTATAAAGTGGCTATTGAGATGGTAAACAATGTTCATATGTCTTTTTAGTTATATACAGGGTGCTTCTTAACGGGCGTATCAACGGTTTTATGGAGATAGAGGACTTCAATAGCTATCATTAAATTCTGATTTTCCGATTTTTTTTACAAAAAATAATTAACTTTAAGACTAATGAAAATCGGCTAACATACTTTGCGTTTTAAGATAGCTGTTGAGGTCCTCTACCTCACACAACCGTTGATCCGTCCGTTAATAACGACCCTGTATATCAGTGATAAAAAAAATCTTCAAGTCGGTTCACTTCACAAAGTCCTTGGTAACCAATAGACCTAACTACACATAAATAACGATACTTTAAATTTAACAGGTCAGATCCTGATTAAATTTAAATGGGGCCGATACAAGCGAAAAAAACCGCATGAATGAATAAATAACAGACGAAGCGGCCGCAAAGGTAGAGAAGTACCAGTATTGCGGTGCATCACTATTCTATCCTCCGCAAAACAGCCAGGTCGCACTGATGGGAGTTTACGGGATGTGGGCAATAATACTGGTTTATCCTGCCCCTCTAGGACGAGAGCAACACAAGCGCATACGTGTACGGAAATAATATTTTGTTAACTATGAAAGTCGTCTTATTCCAAAGGTTTCGCTTTGTTTACTTATTATTAGCGTCTTACCGTTACCGTGCGGCTTCATACGCGTAAAGTTATAAAAACTTTATTTTATCGTTTACATTTGTCAAATTCTCATTTCTTATATTTATATTATGGCAACCTTGCTTCTATGGTGTGGGCAGCTTGTAGTTAATGGTCCCATTCTCACATGAAAGTTTTTTTTTATGTATTTACATCAATTGTAGGGCTTTTTATTAAATAAATTACTCAAAAATATACTGTGATTGTTGACATTCTACGCCACACATTAGTGAGAGAATCGATTCATTTTTATTATTCCCGGTACAAATAAATGGTAATTAATAATTCTATTCATTAATTTTAAAGTTTGTTTTGATATCGTGTTTACGGTAAAATACTTCAATAGTGTATTTCTATATGTAATACGTAAATGAACTGTGTATTGTCAACACAGCGACGCCATATTAGATATGCCACTTGCTTTGACCAATAGTGTGCGTTTCAGAACTTTGCGAGGGAATTTGAAAAAAGACACATTTTAATGATAAATTTTGCCACTAAATCATATTATATTTAAAAAAATCTTTGCAGGAATGTTTTTATAGTAATAACGTATACTTAAAAAAAGTTTGGTACAATTTGCCGTCATCTGCATATTGCCTATTGCCTTTTACAGTATATGATTCTGACCGATATTCTATAGATAGTGAAAAATTATTAAAACCCACGGGTAACACGTCGGCGCATAGCGAAATGATCGCAGTTTTTAGCTAACCGATTTAGATTTTGAAAGCTACTGATTATCATATTGCGATGTTTAGATTCACCAAAAATCGAGTAATATATTAAAAATATAACAAAAAGAAAATACCGAGTTTCAATCTAAATAAACTAAAAACATAACATTATAAAAAAAAACAATACACTAAGAAGTAACGAAATAATTCCTTGAATATGTAAAAACCTCCTTTATTGTAGCTGTTATGTCTATATTGTACAATTAGCTGTTGCTCACGATTTCGCCCGTGTGGAGCCTTAAAGTTCAAAACTTACATGCGCCCGTCTTTTCAGCCTATCACCTAAAGTGTTAACTAAGTTGTAATGTACGTAATAACAGAAATAAACTGATGCCAGATTCCAAACTCCTGAGCCCGGTAGCTTGTGAGTTGATTTTTCGGTTATACTTATTGTTTGTGTTCGCAATATCTTCTAAACTATTAGTCCAGTTTAAATACCGCAGAGGACAATTTCATTCTACATTAAATTAACCTGACAACAAACGCATTTATTTGGATAAGGATTAATATTGAAAACAATAAAAGAACGCCGCACGTAGCGTGCAGTTTTTAATTCAATTCGTAAACAAAAAAGTAGGTATTGTAAGAAAACCGTTAAAGATAGATATATGCTAACGCGGACTTATCTGTAGAATTTTTTGAGATCTACAATTCTTTCATACATCATTATATAAACCTCTAACGGTTTAGGCAGTGTACGCCGAGAAAAGTTGAAGTTTAGTGAATTTTTAACGCTAGCGTTCAGAAACACGCTGTTTATTAATAGTTCCTAAACATTAGTAATAATAAAATATAGCCTATGTTTCTCACAGATAAATTACCTTTCTGATGGTGAAAGAATTTTTAAAATCGGCCAGTAGTTGTTACGTGAATCGAATACATAAAAATAAATACACATCTTTATTATATTAGTATAAATATAAGTATACATAGCATATGGTGTATTTTTGAGAAACCTTAACCAACATATTTGCAAATAGTTAACCTATTCGCTAATACTGTTATTTTTATCTATTTTTTAGAAGTGGTAGAGCCCGCGTTAACATTTTCGCACGAATGGGTCTGCTCGCGCGGTGAAATACCACTTACCGCATTTCAATACATCGTCTAACTAACTATTTGAAAAACATAGCCTAATTAAAACTTAAACGAAAAGGCAGACGAAACGTAAAGGAAGACGAGACGAAAAGTCGCGATTCGAGCTGCTTTAAAGTCTCACTACACCACATTGTGCTCTAAATAAATATAATAAATATATTCTTAAACTAATGTTTTTTTTATTAACTTCACTGCGAAATAACACATCTTTATTACAATTTTGTACCTCGACTTATAGAGGAAACTAAACGCGCCGATCCAGTGTTATCGCTAGTTTTTAAAACTACCCACATGACTATTAACATTATTGTAATAATAATTTGTTACGCCATTCATGTTAAAATCAGTGTGCAGTTTGCCAGACATAAATAAAAATACGTTTTTATCGTAGTTTTTACTGGTAAAAGTTTGTTCGGTTTACAAAATGATTGACGAAGATAATGTAACATCGGAAGACATTAAGTTCTTAATTAAATAATATAATGCTTTAGCATCTTCTATGTTTCTTAACAGACACGATGGACCAACGACGGCTATGATTAAAAAATTTAATAAGTACTCCGAGTTTTTAAACAATGATTTGGCACAACTTGCCGTTCTATTAGACCCGCGACTTTATAACAATTATTACATAGCAAAGAACAACATCCAACCATTACTCAACTTAAAACCTCTATGGCAAGCTCAAAGATCAAAAAATACAAAAATCCAGAAAAGAACATTTGTCAACAAATAACTATGACACAGTAGCTGTAATAAAGTTAACCCAGTTAAAAAAATGTGTCCGTGTACATGTACAAGCAACCGGAGATATGAATATCGCTAATGAAATAGACAGATACATAAATATGCCCATTGAGCTTCAAAACACAAAAGTATGTTACATAAACTGCCGGCCAAAAGTTTGAGACCACTTTGTACATAGGTTATAATTTGCAAAATATTTTAAATCTGCGGTATGATAACATAACAATATGATCACCTGTGTAATCTACTAATCATTTTCAATGTCTAAACACCATTTTTCTTATCTGCTACACAATTACTATACCATAAATGGGCATTGTTTATTTACCACAGATGAGTGCCGCGTAAGGACCAGGCAATTGTCATTATATTATATGGCGACTCCTTTGTACATGTTTGGTTATTGTTTTGCGTTGATAAATATTGAGAAATATTTTAAGTCATAAATCTTGTTCATAGCATTTCTACTTAAGGAGTTACTTTTGGTTAAATCTATTCAATCTGAGCTACCGTTTTGTCAAGTGAAGATCTCCGAAAATGGCAAAAGTACGCGAAATCTCCAGTGAAACTCGTTCCGCCATCGTTACTCTATACGACGAAGGCAAGTCTGTACGAGAGATTGCCGCTATGCTGAAGTTAACGAAGACTTGTGTTCATAACGCAAAAAATCGATATAAGACAACCGGCAGTCATCAAGACCTACCGCGCTCGGGGAGGTCGAGAGCAACCACTTCTAGCGAAGACAACTTCATTTTTTTAACAAACAAGCGTAATAGACGTTTAACAGCACCAGAAATCCGCGCTGAACTCAATAAAACTCGACCGGTATCATTGACAACAATAAAGAGAAGACTTCGAGATGCCAATTTGTTTTGTCGCGCAGCTGTTCGTAAACCACTGTTACGACCACAAAACAAAAAGAAACGTCTGCAGTGGGATTTTACTCACAGATATTGGACTGAAAAAGAATTTGAAAAAGTTCTTTGGACTGATGAATCAAAGTTCGAAATATTCGATTCGACAAGAAGAGTTTTTGTACGTCGTAGTGCCGAAGAAAAAATATTTCCAGACTGTGTCAACAGTCAAACGTAGTGGAGGCTCTATTATGGTCTGGGGATGTTTCTCTGCCAATGGGACCGGAGATTTGGTTAAAATTGAAGGAATAATGAAAAAGGAGCAGAACAAAGAGATACTCGAGGGAAACGCTGTTCCTTCCGGGCTACGTTTAATTGGAAATGGATTCATTTTCCAACAAGATAAAGATCCAAAACATAGTTCTAAACTATGCTATATACTATAACATATTCTAAACTATGGGGATATTTAGAGCACAAAGAGACGGAAGGTGTTTTGAAAAACATGGTGTGGCCCCCTCGGAGTCCGGATCTCAATCCGATAGAGCTTCTGTGGGAGGAGATGTGATAAGAGTGGAAGAGCCCGCTTTACCATCTTCGCACGAATGGGCCGACTCGCCCGGTGTAATACCACGACCTCACAGAAAACAGGCGTGAAGTGCAAGCAATTTCGCGTTTGCCGTTTTCGGTGCCGGAGTCCTAATTTTAGTCCCTTTCCTTTTCCACCCTTTTCTTAAGAGAAAAGGATGGGAAGGAAAAGT